TGGACGGCTGACTCAGGTTAACACATTGTTATGTCTTTACATTGACTGACTCATGTTAACACATTGTTATGCCTTTATATGGACGGCTGACTCAGGTTAACACATTGTTATGTCTTTACATTGACTGACTCATGTTAACTCATTGTTATGCCTTTATATTACCAGCTGACTCATGTTAACTGATTGTACCAGGTTTTAACTTACCACCATCTGTGACACATGATGTACATTAAAAGTTTAAACATGACAGGTCAAGATATGTCAGAGATATGGCTCTGAAATCTCATTCAGTAAAACAAAATGGCTGCCAATCAACCATTTGGAATCTGATTTGAAAACCAAAAAGATGGGAATCAAGATTCCATGAAGTTTAACTTTTCACCACTTGCTCTTTTCATCATAAATTCATAAAAGAGTCCTGTTTACAGTCTGCATTTTTATTGAACGGTTGAAACAAAAATGGCCAAATATTTTGAGTAAAAATGTTGTCAGTCAGCTCCAAAATTAGGGTTCATTTCCAAAAATATTGAAGAATATAAGAACAAGCAGCCTGTCGGCTGAGATAGCTCCGCTGTTAGCAAAGCAAAATTCAATTAAAGAACAGAAGATATCATTAGAAAATGAACAATATGTAGACTTGCTGTTTTCAACAAGAATTCAAAAATATCACTTTTTACCAATAATTACAAAAATATTCACTAAAATTAGAGAATTAAAGATATCACCACGAAATGAACACATCTGAGAGAGGTCCACATGTAGTACCTATATATGTAATATCAAAGCAATCGGACTTACAGTTTTCAACAAGAAGTCGAAAATATCACTTTTTACCAAAAATGACAAAAATATTCACCAAATTAGAGAATTAAAGATATCATTAAAAAATGAGCAAATCTGAGAAAGGACAACATGTAGTACCTATATATGTAATATCAAAGCAATTGGACTTGCGTTTCTTAACAAGAAGTCGAAAATATCACTTTTTACCAAAAATGACAAAAATATTAACCAAAGTTAGAGAATTGAAGATATCATGAAATGAACAAATCTAAGAGAGGTCTACCCAGGGTGCATAGACACCAAGTATCAAAGCATTCAGGTTTATAGTTTTCAAGGAGAAGTCGAAAAAATAAAACATTGACATGAACGACAACGGACAATCACTCATATTATAAGCTCTGCTCAACAAAGTAGACAGCGGAGTTAAAAAAAGTGCAGAAAAATTTGGGTGAGAAAGTCTTGTGGTGAAAATAGTTCTGTACCAAAATCCATCCATAATTTACAGAGATTCAGTTCTGAAATCGACAGAAATCTTTGAGTTTGCTGCATTTTAAAATTGGTCGTCATTTGGTCATTTATATACCCTATGTATAAAATATGTTTTTGAAATGCAGTCCCTTACCCCCTTGGTTATTTTCACCGATTTTTCATCGCCAAAGCAATTCACGTTCCAAATTATGGTTCTCCGGGTGTCTCTAATAATAACCTATCTAACTGCTGGACTGAATGAGCTATATTTTGAAAAATTCATAGAAGATTGGGCAAAAATCTGTCGTTTTTGGCCTCAACGTTTTTTTTGCTCGGAAATGCAAGGGCGATAAGACTAGATTTTCAAGAACGCAGGTCGCTCGAATTGGACAGTTTCTATTGTTTTAAGTCCGTTGTGTGTCTAGAAACATAACAACTTTGTTTTTTGGTGGATAAAAGGGTTTTAATAGTTCCTTATTGTAATGTCACCCATATAAATAGTCTTCAACTCCCCAGAATTTGATAATGGTACTAGCCCAGAATTGACTTCCTGTTCAGCAGTCTTTGATTGTAGCAATATTTATGCCACCGTATGAAAATACGCACACTCGCGAATTTGACAACATTCACTTGAGCGTCTTAGGATAGTGGGAATAGAAGCAAATAGATGGAAATGCCAGTTACGTCACTCATGAAGATTGATGATTCGATTGCTGGCCAGTATAGATGTATTTAGTGTTCATTTATGAAATACATGTATGTCTACACCTGCGATTCTCAATTTCGATGTGTAAAATCATATCGCTGCTGTGAATGGCGACGGCTGACAGATTCTTTTGGTTCTACGGCTATCTTGGCATGGGCAACTGATTTTTATATTTCTGTTTTTTTTTAATACTCTGACATTTACTTGGTCGTATTTTGTATATACCACTCACACACTGACACTAAGTAAGTACACAGGCCGGGACATAGTCAACATGGGACTCTGAAGGCCCCGGAGAAAGCGTCATTTTACAACATTAATGAATGAAATGTACATAACAATCTCATACTTCCGAACAATCCGATATTGATGCTGGGTAACAAAGTATACAAGTACTGTCTACGATATACTGCAAAATGGAAATAACATGCCTATTTAACCGTTGTTGATTGACAACTGACAAAGTTGCGCTGGGATTACATTGATACAGTGTAACAATGTGGGCGCCAGTGATATCTTACCAGTGCGCGAAGTAGCCAAAACAAATAGCATGATCATTTGAACACTGCTATTACAAAACTGGTAGGAGGTAATAAATTTGGGGCAAAAGTATTCAAAAATCAGTTTTTGGCTGTTGCCATTGGCAGCAGTGGGCCAGAATTATTTTTCAATTAGTGACGGTACGACCTGCCTGTCAAGTACGAACAAAATCAGCCAAGCCAAAAAAAACTCAGAACAGTTAAAAGTCGTTGCTGGTGAACAGTTACCCCAACTTTGAGGTCAAGTTTCTCAGTAATGAAAATAGACATAAAACAACCAGTAAATTTTTGCCCACACTCAAGCTGAGTAAAATGAGCTTCTTAATCCTAGAATTGTAGGGTGAGACACATTTGGCGTGAAGGTATTAAAAATAAACAAGTTTTTTGGCTGTTGCCATCATGGAAATGGTGGGCCAGAATTTATTTTCAGATTTTACAACCTAACTAGAGTGAAGGTGTGACTTGCCTGCCAAGTTTGAACCAAATCGGCCGAGCCAAAAAAAAAAAAATCACAGAAGAGTTAAAAAGCCAGTTACCCCAAATTTCTCGGTAATGAAAAAAGATATCAAAAATTCAACTAGCAACTTTGAGCCCACACTCCAGCTAAGTAGAATGAGCCATGTCTGAAGTGTTTTATCCTAAATTTGTTGGAGGAGATACAATTGGCGCGAAGCTACCCAAAAAACAGTTTTTTGGCTATTACTATTACTATGGCGACGGTGGGCACAATTTTTTTTCCAGATTTTATCTAATAACTAGGGTGATTGTGTGACCTGCCTGCCAAGTAAATCACAGAAGAATTAATACGTGAAAACACTGGAAATCACACACACAGAAGTGATTTTAAGGGCAATCCTAGCGGAGCCTAGCCAACAGTGAATAAACATTTTCGTAAATATTACTGACCGCAAAAGATGCTCATCACGAAGTGTCTTGTTCTGATCATAAAATGAATATTTGTAAATTATTGGTCAAGGCATGTCTGATATATGGCTCCAAAACAGCATTTTGTTGAAACAAACTGACCAACAGTCAGCTATATTTAATTCAATCTGAAAAACAAGCCATGCATGGCACAGGCCCTGTTAGTTATTATTTCAACTATATAATAGTGTTTATAGTAATACAGTCAGATATATGTCTCCAGAAGCTGATGCTTGATTATGAGGATTTTTTAACATTAAAATGATTGTCATTCAGTCATCTTGCATTTGACCATCAAGTGAGTACTTGTCTATATTCAGAGATATTGCTATGGAATATTGGAACATTTTGAATTGGATAGTAAAACCAATACATCAATGACATGATGAATATATAAAATTTGAATATAATCAGCCAAAGCATGTCAGAGATATGGCACTAGAACCGCATTCATTGAAACATTTTGAAAATGATGTGCATCAAGGTCCCATAATGTTATATGTATGTACCAAGTTTGATCAAAATCCATCTGTAAACAGCCGAGATTTGGTTCTGGAATGCCAGAAATACTTGATTTCGATGATTTTTCAGCATAAAAATGGTCACCATTCAGCCATCTTTAATCAGATTGTGAAACAAATTGACTTGCATATGTATAATATTATGTATGATGTATGTCCGAAGTTTGAATGTAATCAGTCCAGGCAGGATAGAGCAGAAAATTTTGATTTAAATGAATTATAAGCACAAAAATGATCACCATTCAAATAAAGAAACAAATGTGCGAGTCTCTCAAGATGTATTATGTATGTGTGAAGTTTGAATGTGATTGGTCAAAAGCATGTCCAAGAGACAACACATGGCAACACATGCACTCATGCATGTCAATTCCTAGGTTCCTGTTTTCAAACTTTGTCTGAATGGAGATGAACAATTAAATAATAGCTAAAATAATTACCAGATACGTTTGTCCATCACCCAAATCAAACGTTGACTTCAGAGGCGCTAAAAAACATGTGGGAATTATTCTTTCATAAATAAAATCTCGGAATCCATA